CCCCCCGCGCCTGGGGCGCGAGGGGGGGAGGGGAAGGGGGAGGGGCAGGGGGAGAGGGGAAGGAACTGGAGGGGTTGAAAGACCCAGAGTCCCCACAGGTGGCTTCAAGGCTAAGCCGACTTCCTCACCCTGCCGCCTCTCCTGCGGCCCACCTTCCCTCGGAAGTGCAACTCACCTCTCCGGGCACTTCTGTGGGGCCACAGGTCCCCTGGGCAGGAGGCCCCGCAGGAGGCTGGCAGGCTGCACACGCATGGCGGCCTCACCTGTGCTTGTCACCGCCTTCGCACCGCCCGGCCCTACCCCGGGCTGCGCCAGTCATGAACTCTAGCGGGTGAGGACTCTGCTTCGGTCATGTACCACAAATCCCGATGGAGACGTCAGGAAATCAAGTCAAGCCAGAACGGTGCCTCTGCTTGGACAGAGCAGGCAGAGCTGGAACTCGGCTGAAAATGAAGGCGCCCCATGGAGACCACCGCGTGAGCTCTCACTGCCGGCCCTGGCTTCTAGATCGCTGGCAGCAGGGCTTGCACTCCCCAGGCCGGGACCTGCAGGAGCCTTTGCTGGAGCAACCGAGCAGACAGGAGAGAAGAGCACAGGTGCTGATTGTGAGGCTCCACAGCGGAAAACCCCGGCCACTGCCCGGTTCTTCACTGACCCACCCGGGAATCAGATTTTCCGTGCCCTGTTCTTAAAGGTGGACGGGCACCAAGGACACCAGACACCTGAGACAGACCTTCCGCAAGAAAGACAGGGCCAGACACCCCACAGAGAGACACAGGAAGCGGCAGGGAAGCATCTGACAGTCCACAAGCAGGAAGGTAAGCGAGAGATGAAAAGGATAGCATGAACCCACCGACTAACACCGGATGTTTGAAAAGGGACATTTGGGGACCAGGCATTTAGCTCAGCGGTTCCGCCGCCTGCAAGGACCCGAGTTCGATCCCCAGTACTAAAAACAAAAAACAAACAACGAAGAAGGGACACTAGGAAAACAGGAAAAAAACTTCTTAGAAAAAAGTTTTTTTGCAAAGCATTTGTCGTACATTTCAGACGCACACACTGATCACATTCATCACAGAGAATGTGCACCTGCACATGATACATCTCGCTTCTTCTTTTTTCCCACTCCCCTCCCCTCCCTTTGACCCCTCTTCCCCTCCTTATTTACAAAAGCTTTTCTCCATTTTTCCTTCTATGCTCTTTTCTTGTCCTTTCTTTGCTTTCTCCTCCCCTCAGCCCCACATAGTTACCCTTCTCACTTGAATATTTTCTTCCCATTTCCCAATATTTATTATACATTTTGGCACTTATTTCCAAGAAATAAATGTTATAGTTAACTTCAGTTTTTAAAAAAATCAGTCAAAGCCAACCTGCCTCACAGCCACAAGGTCCTGAGTTCAATCCCCAGTACCCCCCCAAAAAAATCAATGGAAGCTAAGCATGGTGTTACACACCTGTAAACCCAGCACTTGTGAGGCCGAGGCAGGAGGATCACCACAAGTTCGAGGCTAGCCAGGGCTACATAGTGAGTTCGAAGTCAGCCTGAACTACAAAGCAAGACCCTGTCTCAAAAGTAAATAAATAAAATAGTAAATAAAAAATTAATAGAACAAAGTATAGAAAAAGTAGAGAGGAGAAAATTATTAAAGAACATTTCTCCTATTCCAAAGGCTCTCTAAGTATCTAGCAAACAAAAATTCTCACATAAATGCTCACCATCATGCAGTTTCAGGGCACGAGGGCTAAAGAGCAAGTGTGCAGACATCCAAATTGAGACTCAGAACGGGTGGAACTTCTCAGCAACAGACTGGGAGCCAGCAGATAATGGGTCCAAGTCTTCACCTGTCCCTCCAGGAGCCTCTCTGCCCCGAGACGTCTATACCCACATCCAGGCCCGTAACCAAGAAATCTGGGGCGGACAAGGCCACTGCAGACGCATGAGAGATTCACCCCTTCCTCATCCTCCCACAGAGGGTGAAGGCACAGGCTGCCCAGCCGCAGTGGGCTCCAGCTCGCTTCCTTGCCCTCTCTGAGACCACATCACCCCAAACAGGGAGCATGAAGAAATCACATTCTTCTTATGTGGTGTCTGCTGTTGCGGACTCTTGTCCCGCATGCTCCCGCCCCAGTCCTCCTGCGCGGATCAGCCAGGCTTTGGAAGGGTCTGTATTTGGTTTTCAGGCAGGCTAAAGAGCTCCCTTGCCCTCAGCTCCCACGCAGGCTAGCAGTGCCCTTCCCAACAGCCTCGCCCTCTTCTTAGGGGGCTTCAACAGGACGAAAAGCCCACACTTCACCTCCCATCTCTTCTTCTCTATTATCCTGGCTATGACGTGTGACCAGCAAATAAAAGACAAGCCACAAAACAGCACGGCCATCTCTGTGTGTCACTAACTTGCCTCAACCTAAGCCTCATTTCTGTTTAAAAAAGAAAGAAATCGGGGCGTGGTGGCACACACCTGTAATCACAGCACTCAGGAGGCTGAGGCAGGAGGATTGCCTTGAGTTCAAGGCCAGCCTGGGCTACATAGTGAGTTCAAAAGCAGCCTGAACTACATAATGAGACCCTTTCTTAAAAAGTAATTCTTTAAAAATAAAAATAAATTTTGAAAAGAAGAAAGGCAGGGGGGAGGAAGAAGGAAAACAAGATATACAAGGCATAATGAAAATATATGGTGAATGTTTAAATTATAAACACATTTATTACAGTAAGAGACACATTACCATTGATCCACCGCAGAACTCCCTTGGAACACACTTAGCCATCACTGCCTCCTGAGGCAGCTCCGGCAGTCTTCTTTCAGGAGTGTCTTTAGGAGGTGTGATGAAAACTACAGCCAAGCTGTGGCCAAGGGGCATCCATCCAAAAGGCAGGCTGCTGCAAACACCACGGTGTGTCCTCAGCCACCCTACGTCCCTCATCCAGCACTGTGCGGCCCGAGGCAGCCGTGACAGCACCAACAGGGACAGAGCCCGCTCGGGAGCAGACCCGGTGGACTCCGGGGTCCCCTTCCTGAGCATGCACTCCATGCCCCCCGCCACTCCCCCAGCCCCGTCCTTTCATTTTATTCGTACTCATTTCGTTGCTTGTGTGTGTTTTCTAATTTGCTCCTGCGGTATGTATGAAAAGCAAACTCTGGAGCCCTCTTGCTTGTTTGTCTCACAGATGAAATGAGAGCAGGGACAGAAACAGCAGAGACCGCCCCAGTCGGGGAAACGTGAGCCCCGGGACAACTCTTCTTTTCCTTCCTTTTTCTTGTTTATGTTTCCAACACTGTGCAGTGGTTACGCTTTGCTTTGGAATACCAACACCCCTCCGGACGCAAACAAGACACTAGTTTGTTTGTTTCTAAGAAACGAAGAGGACTAAACTACCCTATAATAAAGTGACTATCTCTGACTAAGATTTGGAGTGGTTTATCACCGGCTTTTACATCTCCACTCTCCCAGTTTCAGCCACGGAAAGATCTCACCTGTGTAAGCAAGGAAACAGGGCACAGTGCTTCCCGCCGCTCTGGCCTTAGCGGTCTGCACCGTCCGGATGCCAGGTGCCATAAAGAGATGACTTCAAAGCCTCTTTCTCTCTTTTTCACTGTCTGAGGGAGGAAGAAACAATAAAAAGAGGAGTTTACTGGTGCTTTAGGTTTGATTCTAAATTTCATTTTAGAAAATGTTCTTTGGTAAGGTTTTTTTTAAGTTCATGCTGATACATTTATTTTTCTCTATAGGTTGCAGAGTTTTTGAGAGGGGAAGTCTTTTTCCTCATAATTTTATATCCTTCACGCTGTCTACTAAGCTACCTAAAACAGATAGCAAACTTTTATGGAGGCCCCACCGACTGCCACCAATTCACCAAGACGTGGGGAATAAAGACAGGTAGGGCGTGGATCCCACCTAACAGTGGAGGAAACTGCCCATGAAACTCCCCAAGCTCACTTCCCCCACCACACACAAGCCCTCACTGAGGATCAGAGACCTGGCACTCCCGTAGAAAAGAAAGCTCCTGCTGCTCATGGTGGCTCATATCTAGAATCCCAACACTCAGGAGGCTGAGGCAGGAGGCTCCCATGAGTTTAAACCCACCCAGAACTATATAGTGAGACTTTGTTTCAAAACACAGAGAAAGAGAGAGAGAGAGAGCACTCCAGACACATCCTCTGCGAAGCTAGCTGATCAGAATGCTCAGTGAAGTTCCCTCTAATTACATATTCCCGCCTCATGGCAAGTGGAAAAACGGGAGACAGTGGCTCGGATCACAGGGGCTCCCATGAGTTTAAACCCACCCAGAACTATATAGTGAGACTTTGTTTCAAAACACAGAGAAAGAGAGAGAGAGAGAGCACTCCAGACACATCCTCTGCGAAGCTAGCTGATCAGAATGCTCAGTGAAGTTCCCTCTAATTACATATTCCCGCCTCATGGCAAGTGGAAAAACGGGAGACAGTGGCTCGGATCACAGGGTTCTCTGTCCCGGAGAACTTGATCTTAGGTCAATCATGGTCCTTTCTGCTCCCCTTGATTTGTTGCCTGCCATGGGCAAGGCAGACTTGGCTTTGGGGACACCAGGATGAGATGCTGGGGTTCATGGGATAAAGGGACACAGAAGAACAGACAAGGACCCCCGGGAACCCCAGGAAGCGCATGGCTGGACCCCGGGATTACAAGGGGTCACACGGAAGAGCAGCAGCCCTGCCTCTTCAAGAGTCTCAGTGCCTCCAAAGACACTTGTGTCCCTTCGGCGCTGGAGTCACGGAGAGTTTTGGACCAGGGAAAGATGCACCTGTCTCCAGGAAGGAGAAACCAGCAGAGTCGTCACCGAGGAGATAAAATAGGTTAAGAATTTGGAACATAGGGGGTGACGTGGGTGGCCCTGGCGTGGGGGGAGGAAGGCACTCTGCTAAAGGGAAAGGACCCAGGCCCTGGAGAGGAGGGGGCAGGGAGGAGAGTGGTGGGGGCAGCTTTGATGGCGAGGGATCCTAAGGGCACCTCGGGAAGTGTCCGGAGTACAGTCAGCCGTTCATCAGGAGGGCCGCACTTCCTGCCGCACTTCCTGCCGCAGCCTCCTGAGTGAATGATGTGGAGCCATGGCCCAAGAGGGGTGCTGGCCTCCCGGGCCACCTGGAGAGCTTTGCCACCAAAACTGACCGTGACTGAGCTGAAACTCTGCTCTACGTCCCCAGGGGCACGAGAAGGAAGGGTGCACTCCCCTTATTTCCTCTCTCCGTCTCCCTCCACACACCCAGGCCCCTTCACTCCCTGCACAGAAACAACACAGGGGACCTCCTTTCCTCCTTCCCTGAGATCACACTGAGAATTTCCAGCCAGGGAAAATGTATTGCAATGCTGGCCTCTCATTTTAGCACTCTGGGAAGCTGAGGCAGGAGGATCGTTAATTCAAGGTCAGACAGGGCAATTTCGTGAGACTCGGTCTCCAAAAATTTTTAAAAAGGGCTGTGGATGTAGCTCAGTGTAGAGTCCCTGGGTGCAAACCCTAACACTAAAAAAGCAAAGAAAACTGGAAGAGAGAAGGAGAAACACAGTGAGGTGACTGTTGACAGAGTTCTACCAAGTATCAAACTGGAATCAGTTCTTCCTCCACCTAGGGGTGGGTTCGCACGCTCAACCCCTGCCTTCGCCGCCTTCAAACGGGGATGTCTGAACGTCATCTGCGATTGTCAACATTTATTCCAAATCACTGACGCCGGGGGCACCCACTCCCTGGCAGTACACGAAGGGTGCAGCTGCCTGGAAGAAACACAGAAACCCCCAAAAGAAAACCAGCCGCGCCCCACGCTGCAGGCTGGGTGTGGATTCCTGGGTCCCCGGCCTTGGGCTGTGCGCCGGGACAGCAAGGCCGCGTTGGCCTTCGCGGACTGAGAGGCTCTGGAAGCGCTGAGCTCGGGGCTCGTCCTCGTGGAGCTCGGCGGGGTCCCTCCGTGGGGCTGCACCTCCCCGCCCACGTCCCCCTTTGGCCAACGTGAATGCTGCCGCTCAGTGCCTTTTTTTTTTGATACCGGGGATCGATCTCGGTCGGGCCCTCGCTCCTGAGCTGAGTCCCTGGCCCGGCTTTCAGTTCCTCGGGGTAATGCCCGGGCCCAGAGCTGTGGGTCCCGTGGGGACCCCACGTGCCGGTGTCTGGAGGGGTCGCATGAGCGCCACTTTCCGCAGGGTTGCACAAGGCTCTTACTGCTCCACATCTTCCCTGACAGTTATTCTCCTCTCCCTCTCTCTCTTCTTCCTTCCTTCCTCCTCCTCCCTTCCTCCTTTTCCTCCTCCTTCCTCTTCCTTTCCTGCGCTCTCCCCTCGCTCTCTTTGCTCCTAACCCCGCTGACTCAGTTTCCCAGTGAGTGCTGCTGGAGTTCCCTGACGAAGCCCACACGGCCTCTGCTCTGAGCTCTCTCCGCGTGGCACGACGTCCCCATCCCTCCCGGGCCAGGTCCCTGCTCCCCCCAACAGCGCCCTCCTGCCTTCAGCCTCCCACTCCCGACCAGGGGACCCGGTCTTTTCTCATGCTCTCCCTCTCCGCTGCACCCCAGCTTATTGCTTGTCTGTCCCCCCTTTGCTTCCTCTGCTTCCTTCCTGTCATAAAGAATGCACTCAATCAACACTGGCTTTTGAGCCGGGCGTGGTGGTGCACGCCTGTAATCCCAGCACTCAGGAGGCTGAGGCAGGAGGATCACTATGAGTTCAAGACCAGCCTGGGCTACAAAGTGAGTTCCAGGTCAGGCTCAACTAGAGAGACCCTGTCTCAAAAAAAAAAATATATATATATATATAAATAAAAGAAAAACTTGGCTTTTGAAAGAAAAATTGTTCCGGTGAACAGGGGCTAAAATCAGAAGACTCTGGCAGCCAGCTTGAGTCTGTCCCATCCGTGAGTGGCTGAGCTGACCCCAGGAGAGAGATTAGCAGCGGCAGGGACAAAGACTACACCTACGTAGATTTGGGGGAAGGGGCTGTGATCATAAGGAATGACTGTGACCCGGATGCCCAGGAAGGCCTGCTCGGGGGTGCGGACAGTCACTGGACTTCTAGGCGCCAGGGCGGTTGTACACTTCGTATTGAGTCCTTCTGTCCTATTTCCACAGAAGCCGCTGTTTGTTGAAAGCAGTCTGTTTGCTTTGTCCTGTTGGTTTAGGGCAGGCCTGACACCTTCCTCACTCGGATACCGCGTCATTGGGGCCGTCTGCTTTCTCCATTACGGACCTGAACCAGGAGCCTGGGCTCAGAGCATGGGAGGCGCTCAGTATCTGCGACTCACTGGACGGATGGACGGACAGACGGACGAACGGACGATGCATGAGTGAAAGAACTCATCTCCCGCCTCACACAGAACAAGCCTCCCAGAATCTGTGCTTTGTGCCGCGCCTGTAACTATCCCAGGCAACCTCAAGAGGTTCTTTGTTCCTCAACAACTAAGGTCAGGGCTGCCCCTGGCCCCCGTGACTAGAAGCGTCCGGTAAAGAACCATGCTGGTGGCTGTGACTGTTGGCACAGACTTCCTGTCTGAAGCCCTCCGTGGAAAGACCACACAGACCAGTGTAGCCCACAGATTTTCCAGCCAGCATTTCCTCTCTCAATTAACCAGAAAGCTAAGCCAGGATGAAGGTCACAGGCAGCTCCAGAGCGGGGCTGGCCCAGGCGGGGCTGGTTCCTCAGGCGTCTCCGGAAGGGCTGTGCTGCCCAGGACTCCCGCCTGGCACTGCTCTCTCTGCCCGGTGGCCAGCTCTGCTGCCCGTGGGCTCTCCGCACTCAGCCTCCAGCTCTGGGCAGAAACAGCTGTGCAGCGTTAGCCAGGAGTGAGGTGCACGCACACAATCCCAGCACTCAGGAGGCTGAGGCAGGAGGAGCAGGAGTTCAGGGCCGGCCTAGGCTACATGGTGCAATCCTGTCTCAAAGAGAGAGGAAAAAAAAAAAAAGGAACAAATAGGTTGAAAGGTGACCTGTTTGTGCCCCTCTGAGTTTACATACAGAGCAAGCTTATGTTAGATCATTTTTTATTAATAACTTACTAATATTTCTCAGCAATGTCTGCTGAGAATTCAGAGCTCCTGACTGCCTTGCATAGAAGCACGAAGTCTTGAGAGGAAACCCTTGGGTAAGGTAAAGTAGAGGGAGCCCAGATCAGGCTGGGGAAACTGTCACTGCCCTCCCACACCTGCCCACCAGGCTGCAGGCCCCACCCCTTGGGCCTTCTGACGCCTCCCTCCACCACCCTGGCTGGGGACACCCCAGAGGCAGGTCCTGGATCCGCACCAGAATCACTCAGCCAGGAGGAGGACTGCTTCTCAAAGGGTGGTGCCCTGGAGCCGGCACCACGAAGAGAGCTGTGTGAAATGCTCATTCCTGGACCCAGGCCAGCAGACTCAAAGCTGAGCCATCAGGAACCTGAATGTGTCAGCCATCAGAAACGTCCGCCAAAGGGTGAACAAAGACAAGGACAGAGTGAGGACAACCGGGAAAAGATTCAGGGGGGAGCCAGGTAGAATTCCTCAGCTGCTGGCTGAATGCAAGAGGGCGACCGGCTAGGCCACACTGGGTTGTCACGTGCGTGTCCTCATCTGCTCAAGCAGCTGCCACAGTGCCTGCGCTCCTGCTGCAAAGACAAGAGGGACAGTAACACGGCAAGGCTGTGGCATTGTGAGTCCAGGAAGATGATGTGAGAAGGCGGGATCCTCCTGCGGCTGGGCAGCCATGGTGCAGGAACCAGCTGGGCCCTACCCACCCTCTCCCTGCCTTTGTTTCCTCTTCTGCAAAAGGAGACTGATCACAGCTCCTACTCGCCAGGGCTGTTGTGTGCATTAAACAGATGAATGCTGCTAATGGGCTCAGATCTGATTAGCGGCATGTATTCAGTCTGAGGGAAGGGGGCCTCTTAGTCAAGGAAGCCATTGTGGGATGTGAGGACAGACTCCCAGCAGAAGCCGCAGTGGCCCACCCGGTGAAAAGTGTGCTGCCCTATAGCACTGGCCGCCAGGGGGAGCTCTTGAGTGTTTCCCTCTGTCTCCGTTTCTTTTTGTCTTGGTTTCTTTCACTCTATATCTTTCTGTATCTCCCTATTTCTCTGTCTCATTCTCTTTCTCCCTCTTTCTCTGTCTCTTCATCTCTCTGTTTCTGTTTCTCTTATCTCTGTTTATTCTGTGTATCTCTGTTCCTCCGCCCCCATCTTTGCTCCTCACAGCCCCCAGGGCTCTGACCTTCTGAAACAGTGTTTACTGAGAAGCCGGTCATCTCCTGGGCCCCCCAAGTTCATGCACCCCCACTCCTTGACCCAGGTCCTGACCTTCAGTCAGCCCCAGGCCCATGCAGCCAAACCCTGCCCAGCCTGGGTGGTGACACTCAGGAGCAGGAGGTCCTCATGCCCCCCAGGAGCCTGGCCCTTTTGCTCCATCTCTGGGACCTTGGCCTGTCCCACCCAGAGTGGAAGAGACTGGCAGGTGCTCCCCAGACCCCTGCAACCCTACCTCTTCCTCCTCTAGAATGAGGCTGAGCCAGGGACCAGAGAACCACAGGTGCCGCGAGGGGACCCAGTGACCTCCCTCAGAGAGCACGAGTCACAGGGGCCCTCCCAGTCCCCAGACACAGCTGCCCCTGTGGGGCCCTGAACCCTGCACAGCTCTGCAGCACTCAGAGCTGGGGGCAGAGAGAAGGAGGACAGAGGGAGGGAGGAGGAGCAGAAGGAGGAAGCGGAAGGGGAAAGTGCAAGAGGACCGCTGGGAGGGAGGAGGTGCTGGAGGGCACCCGAGGCAGAGACCTCTGGGGTGGACAAGCACCCCGAGGGCAGCTGCAGCAGCAGGAGTTCAGAGGGAAGC